TGCTATGTATTCATGCACGACATATCAAAGCATTGTATTCGTGTAGCTTTCAGATTACAATAACATGATCGATGTTTATTGTAAATGACTTAAGCACAATCGAAAACTTTTAGTTTACATTCTTTGCTGGTTTTTTTCTTGGCCCAGCCGCATACGCTTAAAGTAAAGCTTCCACCATTATCTCTTATACATCGATGGTGATGATACACTTACCTTGCCTTGCATCTTCGTCTAGCCCTCCTAGCGGTACACTTATCATATTCCTTGCATATTTCTTCGTAAAAATCTGCGAATAATTAAAGATAGGTTCGGATGCTCAGTTTGAGTTCTTACCCGGGGCACCACGACATCCCCATTTCTCCGCCTCAACCGCAAGCCGCATATGTTTTTTGGTACATGGATATTTATATTTACCGTAGTAAGCCTTACCAAAGCTGAGATCGGATCCTTCGCTTGGAGATTTTCCCACCTGAACAGAAGCCTTTAGAACTAAAAGATGCAATGTGAATTTCTCCAGTGCTAATTTTGTACCATACCTCATCACTGAGAAGCGAAAGCATCCTACCAAAGATAGCTCTCGATTTGGGAGACATGGCGGTGAAGTGAATATGGATCTGAATAAGATAATCATTTGGGATTTCATGTTGTAGTAGTACCTACAGTTTGGTCTTTGCGGAAATCATCGCGGAAGTCATCGAATCTTTCCTCAGGTGGTCTGTTATAGACTGCTTCTTCTTCCTCATTGGTAACATCGTCTCCATTTTTATTTAGAAAACCATATGCACGCACTCGTTCATGCTGGGATTCCAAGTTGCCAGAGAAATCGTTGTTCTTTTTGTTTTCTTTGCGCGTGTAACCATCACTATCGTCATTGGAATATTCTGAAATATTTATAGCCATCACCACCTCTTCAGAATCATACAATTCTTCATGGTCATCTCCAACTTGAATTCCATCACACCCAACTTGATCCTTGCTCACCTTCTTGATCCATATCGTTCCAAAGGAGTCTAGACGTCAAGTCTCTACGAGCGCGATCCAAGTGTTCCTCGTTAACGTTCTTTGGCATAGGTTGCAGTTCATGCTCAGTAGGCCTAGGAAAAGCTGGAAAAGAGTCATTAAACTTCGACATTCTATTCGCTAACTTTACTACCTGCACTTTCATCACTCATCCTCCTTAGCAAAGGGGTGACAGCTGCGAAGTATCCCGAAGTCGCCGTCGCATTATTTTTCGAGGCTTCAGTGTGGTCACTCCAGTTCCTTCCTACGACATTGCCATTGATGTAGTCACATGACAGCACCACTAGTGCAAACGCGAGCTCCATGATTGAATTGGAAATGAAAATGAGTTGTGAATTCACTTCACCCTTTATATAGCAAAGTTTGACCGTATCTTCTGATGTTTGTGATTAGGATAAGATAATCATTGCGCACTTGGTAAGTCGTATATGCTCATGCGAAACTCACGCTATTGCCACTCTCGAAATGCAGTATTCACAGCGTTAGACATTTGCGATGCGTGTACAAACCATTGCCGAGCAGATTGAAAGAAAATGCGAAAAGAACAGACAGGTCCTATTACGACCCTCTTTAGCAGACTGCCGCAGCCCGCGACGTGAGCGCTTCTAGAAGCCTCACAACCAGTGCTACCTGTTGTGCAAAGTGGGCGGCGTGACCAGCTAGGTGGAGCAACAACCTCCTGAGACGTTCCTTCCGGAGCGATTTCTCGCTTCTGAAGCAATCTCTTGTGGCGCAACTTGGGGGTTTGCCTAATATGGGGATAAGCCATCATAATCGCGTCAGCCCCACTTTGGGTAGGTGCCTTTAAACTTCTTCTAGTGGCACTTCGTTGTCCGTCCAACGTGACACCAAGTGACGTCAATTTACTCCATACTCGACCGTCCTTGAATCTTGGCATGTTGAATCTATAAATGTCAGATTCAGTGAACGTTTCCGAGATTGTTATTCGTTTAAAGTCCAATACAAGCAAGTGTCAGCGAAATAGGCCTACGTTTCGGCGGAATCGCCTTTGTCAAGACCTTTGCGCGTATACTTCCAGCGGCTGTGC